CATTGTCAGGGCAAACAATCCATGCACAAGTCGAACGAACGTGACCAAGTCTTATTGGCCCGTGGCCATAATTACGCACAGCTCAACAGGATTCCTAATTCCTGCTAACTGCTCGTATTGGCAATTGGCATCTAATGTGGCTGTGTGTGTATGTGTGTGTTAGTCCGTGGGTGTTTGACTGTGTGTATTGAGGTATTCGTCACGATTTCGAGTTTCGAGTAGCAGCAGCAGAAATGATTTAGAGATTATCATAGAACTATTTATCGAAGGAAGAGATATTATGTTGGAAAAATCTTGGAAATATAACCAAATAAAAGAAATCTGTTCACATTATCTCTATACCAAAATTCACTATATATGTAACTATTCAAAATCCACATTCCCAAGGAAATCACGTTCTGTATTCGATCAAATGGGATCTATGTAAAACAGGGAGTTAAGGCATCATTTAAAAGATCTCTCAACTCTTGGTTTACCCAACCCAAAACTAAATCGAAAATTTCACAGTAAACATATTAGATAATTTATTTAAAAATTGAAATTTTTTATTCCAAACTTAAGTAGCTAGAAATTTCCAAATTCACTGGAAATTTTAGACTAGATTTAGTTATTGAGATACGAATGATTCACAATGAAATTACTTTTAAAATATGGAAATATCAATGAATACTGGCGGAAATTCCATTCATTAATCGAAGAAGAAGAAGAAGATGATGAGACTGTGTTAGAGTGGTGGGGCAGCCGATGTCAGCATTCTTGTTGTCTCCAATTCAAGCATAAATATTTATATAAACCCGAGCAGGGGCGGCAAAAGGGGATTAGCTGGGGTAAAACTATGGCCAGGGACGGCAGGAGGGGAGCTGTGGAAACTATTGCAAACAAAGAAATCCAAAGACTCGAAATAAAGTGAAATGAAATTCTTGTGGCAGCGGACAAATGATAATAAATATTGTAAAGAGTATTCGGAATTTGGTGCAAGGGGTGCGGCAAGCAGTCATGCTGCAACACAGAATCAGTCTGAGAGTGAGTATGACAGGAATAGAGGAATGAGAGGGGAAGTTGAACGAGACTGAAGGGCTGCCGGTACTTGGGAACACTTGTGATAATGATGACTAATAAGCGGCACAAACAAAACCAGCCAATGACTCCCAAAAAAAAGAAAAAAAAAAAAAGATCCAAATAAAACAGAGTATTATTGAAAATATGCAGAAGACGAAGAAGAAGCAGGGGCAGCTAAAAACAAACACAGCTGTAAACAGACATTGCTCTGCGACTGCGACCGAGGGGGGGCAGCTCGAGGGCAGCAACAAACTTCTTCAGCTGGATGGAAATCGAAAGAAATCGCATTCAAATTGCTTCCATTTGGCTGAGTTTTACTGGAAAGAAGCTTTAGTGCGGTGCTTGATGATTGATTGTGATGGACGAGAGACTAGGATAAGAGCAGGCGATAGTACAAACTTATCAAACTCAATTCTTCAATTAGTTAATTAAATTAAGAATCGCGAGGAGGTTTCTACTGCCTGAGCATGAAAAGGTCCGAAATGCCCAAGGATTATCCATTATTTGTTATTTATATTGGTTAATGAAAAGAACTAGTTCAATTTTTACTTTAGTAAGCCTAATTAAATGAATAAATTCAGCATATTATCTGCTGACAGCTATGAACTGGTTCCGTTTACACATCACTCAAATGTCTGCCGTTTATTTTTGCATGACATTCAATACAATCTTCAATTACACTAAATATAATTCCCAAATGAAAGCAATCAAATTTCTATGAGATCTTCAAGCTGCGGGCAGCCCGCTGCGACTCGCGACCGTTTCGAGTGGGTTAAACGGGTGTAGAGGGCGTTAAGAGGGTGGGCGGGGCGTCTTGATTGCCCTGACCGAAAGCCACTTGAAAGGGTTTACCCTGAAGCGGGCGGAGTCAGGCGCTGGTTCCGTTTTGCTGCGGCAATTGAAGCGACACGCGCGTCGCATTTATACGGCAATTAATGCTTAAATTTAATTAAATGCATTCGACGAGTCGCGTCGAGTGTGGGGCGGGTTTTAATTGCATCTAGAAGCTGCAAGTGGAGCCAAGTGCAGCTTGACGATAATTGATTTGGCTATAGACCCATCGAACTCCACATGTGGAGCATCCAAATACTCAATTTTCTCCATCTCCAGCCCCAATCTTTATCTATCTTTCATTTTGAAGGAGAACTGCACTATTTGATAAGCTAAGTGCCAAGTGGCATTAAATCAGCCTACGTCTGTCTCTCTCTTACGCTCTCCCTCTCCCCCCCGTCTCTCTCTCTGATAGCGACTTCATCTTGTTCCATAACCAAACACAGAGCTTTGCGAGTTTACCGAATTTTGAAAATTCCAGCAACATTAAATACAGTTTTATGGACTCCGAGTTGTGGCTTGGGGAATACTCGACTGCAGCGACTGAAGATTTATGGATTGTCGGCGCTCTATGCACAGATTTATGTTCCACCAGGCAAACAAGACTCAGATTTGTCGTCGTCATTCGGTTCTTCTGCTTCTTTGTTTGCTTCCCTTGTTAATTTTAATGTGAAAGCTGTTCTTTTTTTCATTCACTCTTAGCTTATATACCCTTTACGATCTAGAATGTACCGTAGGAACCAAAAGTAATTTAAGTTTGGTATATTTTATAAAATCATTTTGGGATTTTACAGGTTTTTCGAGTTGTTTCTTTGAACTGAGCTAGCAAATAGAATCGACAACAGCTCTCTTCATCATTTTAAGATCATAAGAGATCAAGATAGATCCATCTAACTATCTACTACTACTACTATAATATATACGATATGCTATTACTATTATAATCTACTAAGTTTATAATAGTCCCATCCACTCACTTCAAAGAAACACTAAAACCACTCAAGCAACATGCTGCAACAGATTACAGGTCATCGACCAGTCGTGCAGGGCCGAACTGGCAACACATGTTGATGTGTTTGTTATACATTTTTGTTCAACATTTCATTACCAAATCTCGCAAGATGACATGGAACTAAACATGCTAAATGAGCAGCCAACTGGCCGCGACCCCAAAGAGCCGAGAGCCAGCGAAGAGCTAAACAGCCTCCTGCCTGGTCGAGGCGCGAGAGGGGCTAGGGGAGCAAGGCACGAGGTCGATTTACACAAACGTGACATGCGGAGGCTATAAAAAGCGGCATGAGAATGCGACCTGCAGTGTTGCATAGTGTCGCACGACAGCAACTAGTGTTGCCACTGGGCAGGGGGCCAGGGGGCCAGGGCAGGACAGAAAGCAGGGAAGTGGGGGAGCCGCAGCCACAGTCCAGTCCTGTCTGGAAGTGTTTGAATCAGGTCTGGCCAGTTATTGGCTGACTGGGCCCACTTTGATGGTTCAGTGGGTGTGCATTAAGATATTCAAAAGCTATTACGATCGCACTGATGGCATCGACGAGTAGTTCATAAATTTTGTAGCCCGAGAACAAGTTCTCAGCTTTTATTGCCCGGCGAAAAGAGTCGAGATGGCGAAGAGAGAGTGAGTTTCGCGATGCTTGTTTACTTTTTCACATAATTTTATTTTTGTTCAAGTTCAAATGAGTTTGACACTTGCAACCAAAACTTTCCTATTTCTCGAACCTTTGCAGCACCTAATTGGGCAAAGAACTAGTTCGCAAAGCCCCTTAATTATTGTGAAAGCTATTTCAAACAAACAACTACGAAAAAGAAAAACTTTTAAAGCCATGTCGTAAAAACGGGAGAAAAATTGTAAAAACTAGAGGCCAGTGTTGGGTAATGTGCGGGCCAAGTGTCAATTGGTAGGCGACAAACAGCAAATGACTTGGACCTGCCCTCAACTTTAACTTGTCTCCAGTTGTTGTTGTTGTTGCTGTTGTTGTTGTTGTTGTTGTTGTTGCTGCTGTCGTCGTCGTTGCAGTTGGGCTTGGGGCACTTAAAGACGCAACATGCGGCATGTGGCATGTGGCAACGTGTAGGTGCCTAGGTGCCGCACTTAATGGCCACTATAAAATCGCAATTGCCGCTGCTGCCGCTGGAGGATAATGAAGTTGCATGTTTACACTGTGCTACGTGGGTGAAGCAGCATTTGCTTGCCAAATAATACCCTCAGACCATTCAAAATAGAGAGAGCCGTTTCGAACTCCACTAGGCGATAAAAAAAATACGCTGATGTGCATGCAGCAAATGCGTTTTGATAACTCTCGTAATACCGATAACTAACGATGTGGAGAAATAACTTAAGTAAAGCAGAAATTTTATAAGCGCCAAAGAAATTATATCGATAATTCGCTTACTATCGACAAACATCGATGTTTAAGCCGGAAACAGAAATATGTTTCAGACAATTATACAAATTTCGACACAGCTGCTCAGCTCAACTACAGGGTATCTGCTTATCGAGCACTGCCCTTTTAAGTACTTTAAACGTAAATTTCCTTAAGACTCTTTGCCCCGCTATCTAGCTGACTGCCTGTCTAGCTCATTTGCAACATCTTTTCGTGTTGACGCGCCCAATTCAAGACATCAACTCCCCCTTACTCCTTCCTTTTCGATTACACCTCAGACCACTCAGGTGTCGAGACTGCGCTCTGAGGTTTATTCCTAATGTAATTACGTTTCGGCAAGCCCCTGCATGCGCATATAGCAGAAAAAAAAGGTGCATTGAACTGGTTCCACCTACAAAATCGATTTGATTACTAGCTGACCAAATGTCTTCTCGCTTCCTCTCCTGAACCGCCCACTTGGCATGCCCCCCTCACTTGGGTTCACTTGAACTCCTGTGACACCTGAGCAATGTGAACCGCAAAGCGACGTCTGTATCTCTGCTTTATCTCGGTGTAGCTTTAAAACCGCAAACACGCATTACACCGTTAGCCGATCAATGGCAATTAATATCGATCGTGTGATCGTGCTAGCCTCCTGGCTAACAAAGTATTTTGCGGTTATTTTCGATTGAAAGACTTTATTATAAATATTCCCTATTGTTCTTCTACTTGCAGCTTACTCGTAGGAGCTCCACTGGATCGAAATAAACAGCCAAATACCACGCAATCGGGAGCTTTATACATGTGCCCGATAACCACGGACTACGACGATTGCGAACAGATCATAACGGACGGCCGACGATGTAAGTAAAACTCCAACTCTATATGTATATATATATATATATATATATATATATATATATATGCCTAGACAATTAGATGTTAACACTACGTATATAATTTATGATTAGCTTATGTTTAGATTTCAGTTTGAGCACCACAAAAAAATCAGTAAAAAATTTTCCAATCCAAAAATTAATGCTAAATTATAATAGGAAAAAAAAATGCTAGTTTTATAGAGGTGGAGGTTTTTTCAATATATAATAATATCTGATAAGGGAACTTTGATAATCAAAGGCAATATTAGCGGGAAACTAACCAAAACAAGTCTTAAGTTAAGTTTGAGCCAGCTTTTATATTAAATCCAAATGCCAAGTGACTAACAGATCTGTCAGAGCTAACACTAAGCTTAAATCTTAAAGTCTCGGATCATATTCTACAGATCCTATTTATAGGTTAGCTTCTTGTACATGTACATAAAATCCCATGTAAAAAACAAATGTGACTAAAAACTTTTTAAACATTCTCTATGTATTTGGTAATTTAATATAGTTTAGCTATATATACATATATATATAACTATATCAATATGTATTTAGTTTATAATCTTTTATTGTATAGCCCTAGTTTTTTAGTGACATTCAATTTGTTTTTATTCAAACATCAACAAAATATTTATTTGCGTTTTTTAATTTTCTTTTCTTTCTTTATTTTTGTTTCTGTTCTCTTTCCTTACGTAAACCCCCCTAAAACCACACATATATATATATATAAACTTTAAAAAACATATATATATGTATGTATACAATATGTATATTCGGTGCGCATATGGAAAACTCATATACCTATCTCCCAAAACAATACTCTCAACCAAAATTATTGACAAACTATTTTCGATGTTTTTCAAAATGAAAATCGAAATGAAATATATATGAAACGAATTTATCATTTAGCATCTGGCGGAGCTTATGAACCTAGTAAGTGGTATGGGTGCTTTATTTGTTGTTGTTTTTGCCCACATCTAAACCAAAACAAAAAACAAATTTGGATTAAAAAAAAAATCAATAACTAATACACATTTCGAGCATTTAATTTGATTGTTTATAAAGCACATAATTTTTGATTTGCATTTGCTTTGATTGATTGCTCACATATAACTATAAATACAAATAAATGTATATGGATATATCTAACTGTATCGAAGTGCAACGATAACTTACCATGCGATAAACATTTGCTATCGATATGCACACACATAGTCACACTCACGCACTCAATATGTATATAAATCAGCGATAACTTATCGATCAATGTACAGTCTCGCATGCCAAATAAAAACTAACGGCATTTTTTAAGGATGGGCCACCACTTTCTATTACATATATGTTGCATGTACATTTACGCTTTATAAGCTTATATAATAATATAAATATATACATATCTATATATCCTATATATGGATAATAAATAATATTGGTAAACCATATATGATTAACTAAACATATGTATATTGACTTACAACCCACTTGTAACTATTACCAGCCATTTAGTTGACACATTTCGTTATTAACTAGTTCAATGTTCATTAATCATAGGCACCAGCATTGGGAGAACTTGTGGAACTAGTGGAGCGCGCTTGATCGTAGGTTAAAGTCCGCACCGGAATTTTTTGAATGTAGCTTTAGGGCTAGTTTCGCCTCGCTTTAAGCCAAGAGCTTGCTGACCGTTCGACTTGTCCCATATATATTGACCTTAGCTAGCTAATTTTAGCGCAGCCAACTTAATCATATTCAAGTGCAGCCGACTTCATGCAATCCGCCTGATGCTTAAGCTCAAGTTATAGACGAAGCGCTGCCATCAACTCTTGGTCGACTGGAATAGGTTCTTTGTATTTCTTCTTACGTTATCGACTTACTCAGGGGACTCATAAATATTTTTCGGAACTTGTTTCTAATGAAGTTGTTTGTGAATTGGAAATAAAAAATTGTGGAATCATGCAATTGATTGCTTGAGCAAAGCTTGCCAATGCCATAAATACCCTGGAAAGTTTGAGAGCTCAATGGATGTTAGTAATAGGGCAGTAATCTACATAATCTAGCAACATATATCGAGAATTAGTCGATGAATATCGATGAACAAAACTAATTCAATGCATGCACTTTCATGTGGAGACTCTTAGCTACAGGGTAGACACTAGTCAAGCAGTCTCAATTCGATTTGATTTGCATAGCTTTTATGCTGATGCTAAATAGTTTTTGTTGGCTATAATTTTTTGCATTACTGGAATGTTGTAGTAATATATAATTTCCCCTTTTGCGCTCTCTCCCTCTCGTCTGTTTTGTTTTGTTTTTTTTTTTTTTTTTCTAGTGAAATATATATAATCACTTGTTGGGCAATTCCCCTGTTTCATGCCAAATGTTTAGTCGATGCGAGGGCTTGTATGACTTATATGAATATACATATTCTTGATCTGTATTGACAGTCGACAAATTGCATACTCTACAATTTTTTATATTAAAAAATTCATATATAACAGATTCATACGGAATGAAATCAAGTTATATAATGCAAGAAAAACTCTTTTACAAGGCGAATTAATAATAAAATCATGAACAACATTTACGATCATATAAATTATATTATAATAGCTAGGGTATTTCGCATTCGCCTTTTCTTGTTTGCTTTGCCTGTGGAGTGGGTGCGCGCGAGGCAAGCCATTTACCAATTGGTGACTCCTTTAGTCTTAATTATATTTACTCAGCTCCAAATTATTTAAATATTGTGCTGTAAATTCATTTGCTGCAACAGCTGTGTCTGGGAGCCTCCACTGGTCCCACCCCACTGCCCTCTTCTGCTCTGGCGGCAGCGACTCTTTATGAGCCGTTCGCATTCTAAATGTTTGCATAGCGCTGACAGCGACGGCGACGGCGACGGCGACGTCGGCATCTGTGCTCGTTTTGCAGCTGATATACTCTGGCATGGCATGGCAAAGGGGGTATGCTGGACTGCCAACATTCTTCTACACATCGTAAGGGGTATGTGCTAGTAGAGCACTCCACAGCACTGTTACTGACAGTTATTGCTGCTGTTATTTCTGGCCTTTGATATTGTTAACGCACAGCAATCAGAGCGTGTTGCTGCCACTGTCACTGCTGCTGCCTCAGTCGATGCCTCTGCCTCTGCCTCTGCCTCTGCCTCAGCCACTGCCGAACGTGACAAATTTTACAAAATGCAAAAGAAGAAGCAGGAGCAAAATGAGAACAACAGCCGCGCATAAAAATAGCTGTGGCACAACGCAAAATTTGTGTGGCATGTCAAAATTCTTTTGCGACAAGCGTCTCGAAATTGTTCACTCAAATACCACCCATAGCCGCCAACGCCGCCCACTGTCAATGTCAAAAACGCGTCGCAAAGTGCAAAGTTCACTGGGCCTGGGACAACAATAAATAAATAGAGAGAGAGAGAGGGAGAAAGAGACGCAGCACATGTACAGCTATGTATGTATGTCAAACTAGCTGCAGCTGTGCGCCTGCGGCCCACGCGCCTAATTTTTGTCAGCTGCAGCGCGCGACTTTCACTTTGCGCGTTTTAAAACGCGTCAAACCCGTCAAAGCTGCCGCCAGGACAGCCCACGCCCCAAAAAAAAAGCCAGTCAGAGGCGCTAGCAAGCAAGTCGAAAACATAAATGATAAACGTAACGCTTCTCGCTCAGCTCTCCTCAGTCAATCACCACTCTCATTCGCAATCTCTCTCTCTCTCTCTTCGCCGCGGGCACACTGTAATAATCATTTATCATATTTCAACACTTTGATGCTTTAAAATGCATTTTAAATCAATTTCGTTACGTTTCACACATATTAACGCTTTCCTACTCTCCCATTCTCCTACTCTCCCACTCTCTCAGTTTCTTAATTTCTATTGCGCATGTGTGCGTGCATTGGTGCAGGCGCAAAACATTCCAGCTCCAATGTCGATGTCGCTGCTACTGCGCTGTTCCTGTCACGGCTGCATTCTATCAAACGCTGACAGCGACGTTGGAAGCGCTTTCCAGTTTTTGTTGTTTCATTCTTGTTTTGTTATGCTCTCTGACATGCAAATGCCGTTTCTGCCTGGGGTATATACGCTTCATAACTAACTATGTATGTATTTGAAAACGTATGTATGTATGTATTTATTTTGCATGTCTGATTTGTTAATTGAGCCATAATAATTTTCTAATTTTCATTTCTCGTTTCTCTTTTGCACATCTTTTGCACATCTGATTATGAATTTATCATGATCATTATCATGCTAAAACGTTTTGCGAAGCATTTTGAACATTTTTTCATGCTTCGTTTCGTCGAACATTTTGTTTGCACTTGTTGCTGTTTTATGTTGCTCTTTTTGCGACTGTTCCTATTGTTGTTGTTGCTGCTCTCGCTACTGCTGCTACTGTTGTGCTGCACATGTGCTGCATACGTATTTCGACTTGTTTATGCAGGCATGATCTATAAGTAGAGCAGCCCCTCTTTTCCCCCTTCTAGCTCCAACCGCATTACACATGTGCGCTATCGCAAGATCTGCCCCAACTTGCCCGCTCTCCTTCTCTCTCTCTCTCTCTCTCTCTCTCTCTCTCTCTGTTATTGCCTTACTTTGCTCGTATTATTTAACAGCTGTTAATAGCTTAACAGCGCCAATAGTTATTGCCTTTAGCCGCTCGCTGTAAATACAATATTGTAAATTTGAGTTTAGCTTAGAATTTTACTATCAAATTTGTTGTATAATATTTAAAATAAAAAAAAAAATTTAATTGTACATACATATGAATACATATTTACATATTCTTGCATACTATATTATTATTGTTGTTATTGATGTTGTTGTTGTTGTTGTTGATGTTGTTGTTGTAACTGATGCGACACACACAAACACTCAGATATACACACACCCGCACACACACACATACACGCGTACATATTTTTACAATTTCGTCACACAATTTGCTAACAAGAACAAAAATACTCCTTTTGCACTTTTTATCCGTTGCCGCCTGGCGCCACCTGCAGCCTACGATGTCGACGAGCTAATACCGCCATCTAGCGACGAGATCAAGGAGGGTCAATGGTTGGGCGTCACTGTACGCTCCCAAGGACTAGCCAGCAAGGTAAGGCCAACTACAGCTTAATTCGAATAATCATATAATATAATGTATGTGGATCCTTGATTTCATTCCCTCATCAGGTGCTCGTCTGTGCGCATCGCTATGTGACAATACAGCGTGAGAACCGCTATGGACAGGGTCTCTGCTATGTGCTGACTAACGACTTACAATTCGACGAGGTCTACGAGCCGTGCAAGGGACGTCCCACTCAAAGGTAGGTGGAGAGCGAGATTCGTACAAATTTTACTATGTTGTTCATTGGGATTAGATTATATTGAAGAAAAGGAAGGCCTAGATATTATATCTACAGAAAACTGAATTAGAGAATTCTCGGCTATTAACAGAAACTTTTCTAGATATTGTTAAAACAAGTCCCGATTTGTAACTCTAAAAACTATAAATAACTGCTTGCATATGAGTTTAGGATTTCCATTTTTTCGGAAACGTAATAAATAAAGCGGACAGGGAAAAACATAAATTTATCATAAATGAATCCATTCGGAATGGTAAATTTGTCATGGTCAGGTTCGATTCAAGCATAACACAAATCCCCCTCCTGCCATTAACCAAAAAGTGTCAAGGTGAAGAATATCTTTATACGCATATTTCAAAACTCAGTCAGCGTGGTTTAGGTGGAAGGAGGTCGAAAAACAAGGAACTCAGCGCGTGTCTAGCTTCAGTTTAGGCCAATTAGCATGCAGCGTGTGTGGTGTGCGGTAGATGTTTGGGGCAGGAGGAGGACTACAAAATGGGACTGGAAAGGACAAGTCGAGGAATGGCTGGTCAGGTGTGACAGCGATGACGTCGCCGTTGCAGGGGAGAAATTTCAATTTATTTAAATGTCAGCGCATAAGGCAAAGCAAACGGCAGTGAGATATGAATCGGGGAGGGTTAGGGTAGAGGCATTATGCTGTGGGGGCTTGCCTTGCGCAAACAGGGTCGCACCGCACCCAAAAAAGGAAACACAAAGAATAAATTGTTATATGATGTGATATGGCATATATGAGACATGCTCCCATGGAGATGACGTGGACTTGGACATGCAATTTTTCATTGCGCTGGCATCGCGTGCCTGACCCTGGACTCATTATACACTGTTACCTAAAGTGCAAAAGCGGCATATTCAGCTGAAGTAAGAGTGGACTAGGGCTTAACGAAAAGTGTGTTAGGACTCAACCAAAGAGTTATCCTCCATTAGGGTTATCCTCCTCGTGTCGGATCCTAGATCCCAGCTGCAAAGTAAGCCCAAGGCATCTCGATTCCCACACTTCAAGTTGCCCTTTAAACTCTAGGAATCGTAGAGCTCTTTCTCCCTCTTAACAGATCATCGCACAGTAGGTTAGACCCTACCTAGAGCTAGCTTACTCATTCATTAATGTCGCCAATCCATTTAGGCAACACGAGGACTATGGCTTCTGCCAGGTGGGCACCTCGGGCGCCCTGCTGGATGACAATACAATGGTGCTGGGCACTCCGGGCCCCTTTACATGGCGCGGCGCCATATTTGTGACAGAGGTTGGTGGCGAGTACCTGCAGCGGGACAAGAACATGTACTACAGTGACCACTCGGATGCCTCATCGCCCGTGGACAAGTACAGTTATCTGGGCATGGCCGTCACAGGGGGTCGCTACTTTGGCGAGAGGATGTCGTATGCGGCTGGCGCGCCACGCTCGAACGGCCATGGTCAGGTGGTTATCTTCGACAAGGCCAACACGAGTCCCATTCCCGTGCACATGATCATCGATGGGGAGCAGTTCGGCTCGAGCTTCGGCTACGAGCTGACGACGGCAGACATAAATGGGGATAAGAAGCCAGACCTAATTGTTGCGGCGCCCTTCTACTTTTCGAAGAGCGACGGAGGCGCTGTCTATGTGTATCAGAACGACAACGATATGCTGCCCAAGAAGGCGACTCTGCGTCTAACCGGCGCCCCGGAGAGTCGCTTCGGTCTGGCGCTGGCCAATATTGGGGACCTCAACAAGGACGGATGCGACGACTTGGCTGTGGGCGCTCCCTACGAGGGCGATGGCGTTGTCTATGTCTATCTCGGTTCGCGCCAGGGCCTCAACAATAAGCCATCACAACGCATCCAGGCCTCCGAGGTGGGGCGCAATCTGCCACAGCCTCTGACTAACTTTGGCATCTCCATAGCGGCCAATACGGATCTCGATGACAATTCGTATGTGGACCTGCTGGTGGGTGCACCGCCAGCTGTTGTGGTGCTGCTCGCACGACCCATCATCAATATTCAGACGTCGTACCGGAGCACTGAGCTGCGCAACATCGATCCGAATCGGGCTGGCTGCCGCGAGGATGTGACCACGAATCTGACGTGCTTCACCTTCGAGGCATGCAGCAGCATCGATCCGCACGAGCAGCAGAGCAACGAGCTCAACCTCACCTATACCATTGAGGCGGAGACCTTCGAGCACAACAAGAAGTTCGCTCGCGTCTACTTCGACAGGGACAACAAGCGCAGCAATGTGATTAGCCACAAGGTGCGAGTCCGCACGAACGGACGACTCGAATGCCAACGGGTCACGGGCTATATCAAGGCCAATACACGAGACATTCAGACGCCAATACGGTTCCGCCTGGAATGCAAGCTAGACGAGCAGGAGCTGGTCGATTCACCACTGAAACGTCTCAATCCCATTTTGGATCAGACGCAGGCTCGCATCGAGTTCGAGGGCACGTTCCAAAAGGATTGCGGCGATGATGATCAGTGCGACAGTGATCTGCGACTTGTCGCGGAGCCGAACCTTACGGCGGAGGGTGAGTGTTCACTGTCCGCAATTGTCAGAACTAGTTCCATTACAAAAAATACCAGTTATATCTAAAAGAGAGTGAGTTTGTCTGCGGCTCATATGATGTAGCTGAGTTTGTTGTGTGTTTGGAACTAGTTCAGTTCATTGAACTAGCTCACAAATCATAATTTATATGTTACTCTTTCCCCTCCACAGATGGTAAATACGCACTGATACAGGGCAACAAAACGGAACTAGAGCTCACAGTGAACGTGAGCAATCTGGCTGATTCCGCTTACGAGGCTCAGCTCTTCATTGTGCATCAGAAGAGCGTCTCCTACATAGCGACCAAGAAGCCGGTAAGTTCATTCAGAAACCTCAAAATAGTCAGTGTAATTGATTTAACCCTTCGATCCCTCGCAGACGAATGCAACTTGCAACAGCTTCAACGAGACTTTGGTGGTCTGCAGCTTGGGTAATCCGATGCTGAGGGGCACCATGATCCATGTGACGATACGCTTCGATCCGAACAGCCTGGAGCTGAAAGAGACGGAAATGTTGTTCCATATCTTTGCGAACACCACCTCGAAGCTGGTGGGTCCCGAGTTACCCGAACGCGATGTGTTGGTGCATGTGGTGCGACGAGCGGAGCTAATTGTTCGCGGCTGGGTCAATCCAGAGCAGAGCTTTTACAGTGGCGCCTCCACGCTGCAAGATTCGCCTATGGAGCTGAAAGATGTGGGCTCACCGCTAGTCCACACCTATTCGATCTTCAACGAGGGTCCCTCGGCGGCGCCCAAGGTGCAGCTGATTATATATCTGCCGCTGATGCTGGAGAACGGACATGGCAAGGATCTGGAGCAGGGCAAAGAGCAGTACTTGCAATACCTGGAGGAAAAGCCCAGCATAGAGACAGGCCAGGGCGAATGCACTGTGGCACCCGAATATGTCGATCCCCTGAAGCTCACCTCCAAGATGGCTGCCAATCTGCGCAGCGCCCACTACATGATCGCGCCCGCAGCCATGAAGAGGTCGCCCGCGCATCGCCAGTTTCAGGTGAACAAGACGCTCAGCTACAATCAGGCGCAGAGCCAGAGCCAGACGCAGCACTGGAGCCAGCAAAAGTCTAGCCAGGAGCACGGCGGAGCGAATCGACTGCCGCGCAGCACTTTCGAGCGCATCGTGAGACCCGAACGATTTATGGACGGACGCGACTCGAGCGTCAAGAGCAAGAAACAACAGATTGTTGAGCTCAATTGCGACAAGTTCACGGCGCACTGCATCAAGATTCAGTGCGAGTTCTATGCGATGCCAGCGAAGACCGAGGCACAGGTGACGCTCAAAGCGCGCCTCTGGAACTCGACGCTGGTCGCCGAATATCCTCGCGTTGATCTAGTACGCATCATATCCACGGCCATGGTCAAAATACCAAAGGACTTTCATGTGGAGCAGCTGGAGAACAATGATAATATATTGGTAAGTACCAGGCAGGCATCCTCAATCGACAGAGCTCTCATTTCCCTATTCGATTTAGGTGGAGACGCGCGCCTATCCGGAACTGCTAGATCAACAGCGGGAGCCCTTCCCGCCGTGGATCATTGTGTTGGCCGTGCTGGGTGGCTTGCTGCTGCTTGCCGTCTTTACGTACGGCATGTGGAAGTGCGGATTCTTCAAGCGAAAGCGGCCAACAGATCCGACACTCAGCGGCAATCTGGAGAAGATGAACGAGGAGAAGCCCTTCCTGGCGGCCAAGAGCAGTCAACATGTTTTCTAACAAGAGGGTACCGTCGGCTGGGATCTGGTGCGACGTCTTGCGCCGAGGAGGAAGCGCAACCGGCTCCGCCAGATGCGGCTGCACTGTGAGCAGCAGCGCCGGCAGCGGCATTGGCAGCATCAGCAACGGCATTATTTGCCCTGCATCTGCAGCAGCAAAAACAGCAGCAATAGCAACAAACACAACAACAACAACAACGAGGACGAGGAGGAATTCGATGTGTTGTCCTTGACACCGCCACCGCCGCCGCTGAGCTTCATTAGTTGGAGCAGCGATGGGTACTACCAGGCGAGCGCCGCCTGGTGGGGCCATATGTGAGCAGCTGTAGCTGTAGCTGTAGCTGTAGCTGTAGCTGAAGCTGAAGCTGAGCCTGAATTGCAATCCTGTAGCCGCTACACATCCTGGCTGCGGGACTTTCAATGTGCCATTACGTTTACTTAAGTTTGAGCAACGGAACGGGAAACGGAACTTCCTTTGCCAGCGGGCCGCAGCGTCTGGTAATTTACGACTAGTTATGAAGGGCTTTCGACCAAATTGTCAGCATGCATCAATCAATCAATCAATCCATAAATCCATCGATCGAGTTTATTGAATCGAATCGAACTTCAAGCTAAGATTCTTTTACGCTTACCACTTAGCTGAGACTCTTTCTGTCTCTGTCTCTCCCTCTCCCACTCTCTTTGGCCATTACTCCTACTTTTAGCTTGCTCTTCCTACTAACTGCTTTCCATTGAAAGCATTAAACGAGCATGGAGGGCTTAGATTCCTGCTTCGATAAACGTCAAAAGTTTATCTCTTCAGCGAGCTAACTCGAAAGTGCATAGTAATTTTTGCCCAACATGGAGGAACTTGCTAAAACTGTAAAGTGACCCTGGAGCGCTCTCTATGATTTTGTCTTCTTCCGCTTGTGTGTTGCCCTGCCGCTTGCACTGGTGCAGTCCACGCGACCGGGCAACACACTTAGCTGTTGATCATATTACCGATGCCTGAGTGAAGGTCTATCCACAGAGAGAGTTACCTAGTTCTTCTGTTTTCCCCCTGCCCGTTCACTACGTCCCGATCTGGTTGATAACATGCTACGAACACACCTGTGCATTTAGGAAGGAGTCCAGCTTTTTGTACCATAATTGTTATTTATATAATGCTTAAGTTCGTATCTAAGTGAAGGTGTAGATTGAGTGTAAGAAACGTAAAATAATTCCAAATTATTTCAAAGGAGAAATAAAATGCAACAACAAAACATTAATAAGCCGAACTTAACGCTCCACAACCCCCAGATCTAACCACTCGAAACTACTATCACTGCCAGAAAGTACGTTAACAAAAAAAAATAAAATAAAATAAAATAAAAATAGCTAAAAATACCAGCTTCCGAATTCTCGAAATTAAATCTAGTTTGGACTTACAAAAGTATTAATTCAATATTCATGCCAAACTACAGAGATCTACGATAAAATACGAGCAGTTCTTGAGCCTAGGCAAATATGTAGTGCAATTCGCCCCATTTGAAAATTGTTTTTATTCTCTAAACCTGATCAAAGAAAAAACACGAAAAAATGCCTTTACAAAAATTTAAAAATTTAGTATTTAAGAATTTTTTGTAACTGGAGAAACATATGTTTAAGTTCCAAAGTGCATAGAATATAGGCTATAATATTAGCGATATGTATATATATACATATAAATATACAGTGGAATTCGGTTATAATGACTCCGCTTATAGCGTTCGTACGGTTATTGCGACGAAAATTTTGGTCCCCAGACAAACTTATATGAGGAAAATAATACGTTTAAAGCGTTTTCCGGGTATACCGACAGTACCCTGAGCGTCGTTATAACCGGATTATATTGTATGTACATATTTTTAAAGTTTTTAAGTAACTTCATTTAATATTAGGAATTCGTATAGTAATAATCTATTGTGTAGCTGTATATAATAATTTTATTTTTTTTTTTAATCATAAATTTCTTTCCACTGCTCGGTAATTGTAAATAGCTTCAATAATTTTATTGAAATAAATTTAAACACACCATTTGAAACAAACGCAATTTTTAATTTTCACAACTGACGTTTATCAACGCACGCGTAGCGCCATCTGTGAGCAAAGGCGGTCACTATATTTCTGATGCCGCCTAAAAGTGTGCTACAATTTATGCATTTCTGCGGCATTTGAAGTTCGTTAAACCGCTGCTTGGACTTGAGCGAACCGAATCATGATTTTTTGTTTGAGATGATTTGATTGTTTGAATGCATTGGGAATATAAAAATTGAGTTGATAGACCATAAATAGCGCAGAGTTCTTGAGGATTTTCTGTAATAATCCGTAACAATTAATGTAATAAACCATCAATATTGTTGTGTAATTTTGGAATCCTTGTTAAAATTATGTATGTATATTAAAACAGACCAATTATATGGGCTTTATTGTCATATTAAGGACTTTATATTCAAATTTATATGCTTAAAATGAACGACATAGGACATTTCCAGCAAAGTGCAGTGACTCTATGTTCCAAAGCCTTAAGGATTCACTGAAAGAAATTATTTTCTGTGATAATATCTATCAAAGAAATCCATTCAAGCCCAAAGCTGCAATTGTCCAATTTCGAGCAACTGCCAATTTGAATGGGCGCCAACCCCCAGAATAAAATCCAAATTTGTTTTTGTTTTTTTATAACGGTTTTTATTTTTGCTTGCTTACGAAACTTAAAATTCGCCATAAACTAAATGGTTTTTGTTTTCACTTCACATAATTGTAATTTAATTAATTAACTAAATAAGAATACGCACACAAAATTAGTGTTGAATGGAAGCAACTGTTGCAACATTAACAAAATTCATGGAGTACAGTTAGAAATGTTTTTGTTTGTTTGTTTGTTTTTTTTTTTTTTTTTTTGCTTTTCTAAATTTTTGATACAGTTTGTTGTCTTTTTCGTTGTAATTTTCTTTTTTGTACATGTTAAATATATTTATATATAATAAAAACGAGAAAAATGTATACTTATTTATAACAAAAATGTAACTGGCATTGTGAAGAAAGCAATAGAACGATATGTCTATGTTCTATCGTTATCGATCAATGTGTAGGGGAAGACATTGTTTAAAGAATTTTGATATTACATTTTTTGTTTTCGTTGCGAAAGGGAAGAGCAAATGTACTTAAATTGTTTTTGTTTTCAAGAACCAAAACTTAAATGCATAAAATATTAAATAGAAATATGTATTTGTTATTTATATATAGTATATATATGTAGTATAAGTATATAAGAGATAGAATGTAAACGTAACCTTTTTCATATTTAAATACATACCAAAAAATATATCAAATATTTATATAAAAATAATAATAATGCAAATATAATAAAATAATAATAATAATAATAATAAATAATAAATATGCTGCTTGCACTTGTTGCTTTTACTTTGTCTTGTTTGTTAATTTTTTTTTTTTTTTTCTTTTATTTATTTATTCTTTTTAGGTATTTATTTTTTTAGTTTTAAGGCACTTTGAGAATTTGATTTACATCCATTTTCAAGTTGGTTTTCTATTTCTTTAATTCTTCTTCTTCACTTTGACATAAATAATGTAAAAAAAAAAAAAAAAACAATTATAATAAATAAAGGAAAATTAATTAAATATGTGTATCTTTTTTTTTAGTTGTTTTTTTATGCTTCTATAAACTAATTGTAGTTTTTTTACAGTTCATGTAGATCGGCATATATATATATATAAATATATATATAGTTGTATTTTTATATCTAAAGTTTGAAGGCAACTCGTAAAAATGTTTACAAAAATTAAATAATATAATTTAATTTAATTAATAAATTGATTTTAAGTTAGGGCTTAAAGAACATTTTCATTTTTTTCTTTCTCATGCAAAAATTTGCAAAAAGTAAAAGTAAAATAAAAGCGCACTTAATTACATAATTAATTATTAATTAACACTGTACTCAGTTTTTTTTCGGTTTTTTAATTTAAATTTATGTATAAATTTGTTGAAAAGAAGTTGACGTTCCAGGGAAAAGTGATAAACGACGGGCAGCATGCCTAACGACAGTTATCGCTCGCCGATTAGATAGTTTATCGGCTTATCGTTTATCTGCTTATCGCTTACTTGACGGTAGTTTAATTTTTTTTACTTTTACTCTACATAAAAATGTATGTATTTATATATATAGTTTTTTTCTTTATATATATATGTATATATATATATATTTTTTTTTTTTTTTAACTGCACCCAGAAGAAAAAAGTGTATGTAAAATAAATAAAAAAAATAAACTATAATTATATATATAAATATATATATATGTCTCTCTCTGTTTTAAATATGATTAATAAATTTAATGTATTCGTTCCCAATGCTTAAGCATCGTGGATATCGTCGTTATCGTTATCGATATCGATATACATGCAGATCTTTCGCATATTTGGGGCAATATTAAATAAAATTATCAATGGTCAAAGAAATGTATGTGTGTTCGTATGTGTGTGTGTGTGTTGGTTTCATAAATTATTAACAGTAATTGTTTGTATGTAAATATTTATATATGAAAAAATAAATTATGTTTTTTCTCTTTACAAAAAAAATTAAATAAAAATTAAAATTAAAAAATAAAACTCAAATAAAAAATTACAAATTTACGGCAAAAAAAACTTCAAAAAATTTGTTTGTTTGTTTTGGAGGTATATCAAATCAACTATCGTGGAATAACACATATTATATATATATGTATATATATCATAGTTATTATCGCTATCGGCTATCGATAGAGCATACAGCTCAGTTCTCAATAGATATGTATACAGATATATATATGGAAAGATATATATATATATGTATAGGTTTAGGTATATATATAGATGATATACATATATATGTACACAACATTGGTTTATTACATAAAATTTAGTAATAAATTAAAGTTTTCGATTTTTTTGTATTCCCTTTCATTGTGTGTGTATGTGTGTATTGTTTGTTTGTGTGTGTTTGTTTTGTCTTTTGTGTTCTTTTTTTTTCTAGCTTTTTGTTTGTAGTAGTGTTGGAAGACGCGCGCACGCACCACGTGTTATCGATTGCTATCGATAGTCGGGCGCTGACTCTTTTTGTGAATGTTGCTTAACTAAGAATTTGCATTTATAAATATTAAACAAAAGTGCGACGAGTGCATGGATGGGGGATGGGGGTGGTCAATGGGGCGTGGCTCGGCGTATGGCGTGCGGTGTGGCGCAGTCAATTGGTATCGATATATCGACAAATGCGTGTGATTGTCCACATTGTATTTGAGCAACCACGCCCACTCAGCAACGCCCTCTCAGGGCCGATCCTATTGACGGGATAATAGGGGCAGTAAAGACAGGGGCGGGACGGGGTTGTAAGTGTTTAATGTTAAAATTTGTGAATGTACAGTCCGTGTTCTTTTTATCATTCTCTATTCGTCTTGTTCTTGTTGTTGTTGTTATTCATATGGTCCAGTATTTTGAAAGAAAATATCATTGCATATATATGTACACATATACATACATACATACGTATATACAGATATGTATATAGAGATATACATAGTGCTATATAGATATGTACACATATATATACATACATACAGTGATAACGATATATACACACATAGACATATATGGATAGATATATATATATATGTGTATATATATTTTGTTGTCGGGGCAATAGATTTGCGAAAGGACAGACAGACAAAACAGAAAGTGACTGAGAGTAAGAGCGAGAATGGGAGAATTGGAGACAGTCAAAGAAAGAGAATGGGCTAAAGAAAAGGAGAGGGATGTCTATGTGTCTATGTCTGTGTCTGTGTGAGTGTGTGTGGGCGTGGAGAGTGAAGAGGGATAAATTAGAATTTGAAATGTTGAAATTTACAAGAAGTTCTCTTGAGGAATGATCGGATATCGATTAATAGTCTGAGATTTTTGCATTAGAATTGTGGAAGCAGCCGTTGTGGAACTCAAGCGATTGAAGACGGGCAGTCGTGGCGCCTCCTCGTGTTGCAGCGGCGAGCTGATGCTCTTCTGCAGCAGCTGTTTAGTGTTGCTGCCTTTGCTATTATTATTGTTGTTGCTGTTGTTGTTGGTGTTGTTGCTGTTATTATTGCTGCGCTCGAACTGCTGCACCTGCTGCACCGACTGCGGCTGCGACGTCGGCGGCGGCGGCGTATGCACCGGCGAAATGGGCGCATTCGGGCTATCGGGCGGCGTGGCCGGCGCCAAGCCGCACGCCGACGATGTGGACGAGGCCGATGAGGCATGCCCATTGGCATTGTTGCCGCCGTTGCATGCATTGGGCATGCTCAAATAGGCGGCCGCATCGTGGAATGGAAAATTTGTTAGCGAATTTGTGGGCGAGAGCGACAGCGAACCGGTCGGCGATTCGCGATCCGAGCCGGTGCTCATGCTCAGTGGCGGACTTAGCGGTAAAAAGTATTGAGTAATGTTTGTGTTGTTGTTGTTGTTGTTAGTAATGGTGTTGCCATTGGAGAGTTGCGTTGGCTTCTGGAACGGCTTGCCAGCCTGCTGCTGCTGCTGTTGCTGCTGTTGTTGCTGCTGTTGCTGCTGTTGCTGCTGTTGCTGCGCACGCGCCTCATCCGCATTGTGCACAAAGTGACAGCGCGGCCCATAAGGACAGAAACCAACGCTGTGAAAGGTGCGACAGTATTCGGTCTTGTACTTGGGATGACGCTGCAAATTGCGCAACTCGTGGCAGCCATGGGCGAATTGACATTTTTCGCCGTATTTGCATTCGCCAGCCTCCTCATAGGGACGACACAATTCCGTCTTGTAACTAGAGGGAGAGAGAGAAAGGGAGAGAGGGAGAATTATAGCAAATATAAGTTTCATTTTCAAATTCAACTTTCGCCTGCCACCCACACGTTGCGTGTTTAAATGCGACCGCTCAAGTAACACACAAACACTACGCGCACACACACACACATGCACTTGAATTCGCTCCAATGGCGCCCTGCTAATTACCCGCTTTTATTTTGAGTTGCAAAACACACAAGTTCAATTAAACTTGAGTGAGAGTGCGAGTGAGACGAGCTGATCGCATACATGTTGCGTTCGCCTGCATTCTTTCTATAAGTGCTGCCCATTAGTCAATTTTCAGCTGCAACTAGCTTCTGTTTTGCCATTAAAATAGCCGAAACTAGCTTTCTTTTGATGTGGCTATATAATTTAACCATTTTCTATATTATAACATAATTAATTTATAACTGATAATTTTTATTATTATTATTTGTATTTCAAATGTTTTCTTCTGTGTTCATTTAGCTATTTTCAAATATTAGATATTGCCAGCACTGTGACTGTTTTTTTTCGGGTTCACATCCACCAAAATTCGCTTTGCTGCTCAAACATGTTGCAATTGCCTGCACTCTGCCTATTAGTGTTGCCCGTCAGCCAAT